GAGATGTTAAGCCAGAATACGGGAATTTATCTTTCATTTCTCTTTCATCTACCTGAGCCACTGTGTGTAACTCTTCTTTAGTGACTGAGTTCTCTCTGCAGCTTTGCAGAAGACAGACCCCCAAATATTCTTCCAAATCCTTTCTGTGCTTTACAGATATCTTCCAAGCAAATCTGTCTTCTTCATATAAACATCAGCTCCTGATCCTTCACAAGGATGGAAGTTCATATATATCCCTTTACCACAAGCTCTGTTGCCTTAGGGGTTAAAAGGATCACAGATTCTTCAATTCTGCTCTCTACTAAACCCAATTTGTTTGCTTCACACACACTCAAAAAGCCAGTCACTTTGAGATACGTTTCCCAGCCTTCTGATGAGAACTTGGTTGCCTGCCATGTCCCTTATCATGAAAAGCCCAAACATCTTCCCATGTTTTGGTGTTTCTTGCTTTTCCAGTACCAAGATTTGCAGCAGCAAGCCCTGCTCTCTCACATCAACTCTTGTAATGAGGAGGAGTTTTCTTCCACTTGCCCCCCCCAGCATTCCTTCTGTGAGGTCTCATGCTCCCCTTGCTATCCCCACACCCCGAAAATCTATTGTCTGCTCTCTAGGCTCACCGTAAAGCATTCAGCTCACTCTGCTACAGGAATGCAGAGTAATGAACAATAGTTGCATTAGGTATGGGTAATGAATTGTGTTTCTGCAAAGTGAAAAAGAAGAGCCTCTTAATAAAGAGAATAACTTTTAATAGGCAGTTAAATTTTTTTTTTCTTGACACACCATGGTAATTTCTGAGCAAATTTTGCACAAACATATATATATATATATATATATATATATTTCACAATCTTTCTCTGCTTTCTTATACTGTCCTTTCGGTACGCTACAAAATGATTATTTTTTTTTTTTTAAATCAACATGAAAATTCACAATGATTGCTTTTTTCATAGGAAACCTCAGCAGTCAGGAACCTGAAAACTTGCAGATGCCAAATAGCATATTTTATATGTCCTGACCTTTCCAAAGTAGGCATCCAAGACTCCTCTGCTCCTGAGAAACCCAAGTGATCCAGCTGCAGCATAGAGGACACTTGTTGGTTCCCCATCTTTTACAGAGCTTCATCAAAAGTTTCTCCTGGTGCCACTAAGACAGAGGATTATTAGATCCATCAAAGTGGAAATAAGAGCAACAGTCAAGCACAGGGAAACGAACACCTTTCAGCTTCCTTTTATAAACACAAACTAACAAATCTGCTCAATCTCTTACCATGCTGCTAGGTAACTTTCATTATTTCAGGGAGGGAAATGGGAGAGAGAATTTCCTCAGAAGCATTTCATTGATAGGTATCAAAATTTAGATCATCATCCTGGCTCCTGGTCCTGCACTTACAGTACCAGTTGTCTTCTTTCCATTCACCAATAAAACAATGGAGGTTCTTGGCACACTACCAGAGACAGTGGATTGAGACTGAGCAGATGCTCACAGTAATATAATTTTCAAACATTTATAGTTCTAGAAAAGTAGGATACATGCAGGTAGAAGCACTACTTGATATTTTTGAATTGCCGGCTCTGTACAAATTAAGAGAGTCTGTAATTAGCACTTGAAACACTCTTTAAACTTCCAGAGTTATTCAATAACCCACAGGAATCCCATGCATTACTCAGAACAGAGGGAAGAAGGTTCATCTGTAAAATTGCTTATCTTGCTGATCCTGACTGTGCACCCCAGGCTATATAGGAGACATATTTATAGCACAGTAGTGCAATTAGCCAAGGAACAGGTGAAAATAAACTACGTTACATGCTACATTAGAAGGATCATATTCAGTAATTTAGAGAACTTCAAAGAGCCTCAGTGCAAGGTATATTCCCCCCTTCACAGAAAAAAGCACACACTTCAGCACTTCAGCCAGGCATCCCATCCTGTAAACACTTATGACAAGTGAAGTGTGTACTACAATGAGCAGTCTCATGGAAGTCACTGAATTAATTTTCAAAGAGGCAATTTGCCCAGTACTGTTTCAAGGGTCAGGCCCTGTTTTTATTTTGCTACATACAATTAAAAGAATCATATCTACCATAAGTTCAACAAAATAGGCTAACATATTCCTTCCTGTATGTGCAGAAAATCCTTTTAGTAACTACTATGAAAATATCACCTTTTACATTCTCTCCAACCTTCTTGTAAGTTTTCCTGCTTTTACTATATGTGAAAATAATAAATATGTATGATATACCAGTTATTAAGCCATCAAAAAAATTACATCTCATTCCAGAAGGAACAGGAGACACTTGAGATTTAGAAATAAAGAGCTGGTCATTGACACAAGTGTCCTGCCTGGTAAAAAGCTTCAGCTGCTCCACATTTCCTATGGAACTGCAACTTTGGTGGGATGTTGTGAGGACTGCTTCCCATCTGAAATGACAACAGTATGTCAAGGTTATTATTCCAGGTAAGGTTGTTCAGGAACAGAAGAGTAAGCTGAAATGGATGACATAGAATAAATGGGATAGATAATAAGGAGTAAATCCATTGTCCAGGACATCGCACTGCATCCACACAAACAAAACCACCTCTGGGCTTTCAGTAATGTAGGCAAATTGGATTCTGGTTATTTTGTCCTTACTGTTGGCATCAGGAAATCTCAGTTTGTACATCCTGGGGGAAATGAGAATAGGCCAAAACCATCAAAGATGTTTTGCAAAAGGGTCTTTCCACATTTCTGGTCAACCAGATCTCTCTCAGTGGAGGGCAATGGGACCCGTTCTAAAGGTGTTCCATCCTACAATGATGGTGGAAGACTGGGCTTTGTCTGGGCCCAACATAGCTGCCTCTGACCATTCCATCCCACATATGCAGTGACATCTAGTTCCTCAGGCCATCCTTCTCCTCTACCTCCCTTCACTACCCTGGTCACACAGGGCCCTTCCTACAGCCCACCACAAATAAGAGAAGCAACTTCATGGGAAGTGGAGACTGTGGTGTCTGAGAAAGCTTCATACATGAAGAAAAATGCAGCGCCCACATCACAAACAGTGGGTTTCAGAAGTGGTCTGATGGTCTCTGCCCTCACACACATAAAAATACTGTACAAGACCTGCCAGTTTTTGCATGTTAGCCACCAAGGATTTCAAGCCATAATAAACCACCTCAATGAAAGGTGCTTGTTTTTGTATGATGTGGAATGGACACAGATTTTTCATGAAACCAAAGGAGCTGAACAACTTCTGGGTAAAAAGTTCCTTTTTTAATACGTAACTGCCTTTAAAAAATCTCTTACTTCTCACACAGACAAAAAGAAAATTCACCTAGGGAATTACAACCAAGAAATGCCGAGCAGTTAAAGACAAATGCTATGCCAATAGAAGTCTACCTCTGAGAGGTGGCAGCTTCTTCAGTCCCTTGGTTTGCCTGGGACTCTCTTTGTGATGGTGTCCTCAAGCTGAGCTTTGTTTAATCCATTGCTCCTTGAGGCTGCCTCCAACTGAAGTAATTGCTCTTTTTGTTTTGCATTTTTAACCCTTTTCTTTAGTTACATGGCACAATACTAACAAGTATTAACCAAGAGTAACAAACACTAATGTTACAGGATGTAAAACAAAAGCAATAAACTTACATATTTATTGCTGAGGTGTGAAGAGCTGCCGAGTTTTATTCTTCCCCTGAGATGAATGCTCTCCTAAGAAACAGAAAATATATTTGCATCAGTTAAACATGAAAAGACAAAATGAAAAATCAGTCTAGCAGGAACAAGTCGCCGACCACTGTACGAACTAGCCAGCCTCCTTGTCAGATTTACTTAACCAGTAAAAACTGTTCACACAATAGATTTTTACTACTCTCTCTGTGTTTTATAGCTTATTTTCCCTATGATTTGCTCCCAAATGGTGGGTTACTACCACAAAGTATTTCCAAGGCAGTTCTCAAGGGGGTTAGAAAAGGCATAAGGCTTTAATTAATTGGTAACTATGATTAGAATATTAAATTCTAAAAAGATGCAACTTTAAAATTATTTTTTGCCTATACTGCTGACAGCAGCTCAGTTCCTCCAAAGCAGGAAAATGAACATTTAACAGCTTCAGTCAGGGATTACAGACAGTTCTCACTCCTCCTTCCCTAGAGAAGCAGAGCTGCTGCCAGCAGTTACAGGCAGACAAATAAGCCTCCATATGAGGATGTGTTTACAGTTGTGCTATTTCCAAAAGTGTGTCCCAGGAATGGCAGCGGGACTTCTTTGTGCCAGAGATTCGTACATGGAGATGAACGGGGAATGGCATTGCCAGACTGGACACAGCCCCATGGAAACAGGCATGAGGGTGGGGAAACCCAAATGCATCCAGGAAACTCCCTTCTGCCTCTCTGCTCACCTGTGGGAGACAATGCAATGCCTAACACATACATCAAAGGCAAGAAAGTGATGTATTACATTCTAGTAAAAGTGAATATGTATTAAAAAGCTTGCATATGATCTATAGCCTGGGGTTGAAAATTGTAATACAAATTAGGCTTATAACAAATTCACTGATTAGGCATTTAAATAATTAGAAGTCAAATTAAATAGTTGCTCTCCTGAAGAAAAGAGAAAAGGCTTGTCAATGGTTTTCAGACCGATTTTCTTGGCAGCAAAAAGGGCTCTCTAATTTAGTGCAGCCTTTCGGAGATGAGTAGAAAACTTGGTATCTAATGGAGTTCAATGAGAAACACTGAAAATTGTTCAATAATAATGTGCTGGAATGCTGTTCACTTCCCAAACGTTCAATTTTGGATAAAATTATTTCAAAATTGTTTTAAGATGTTAAGTTAGAGCTTCAGAAGTTCTGATAATGTTAAATTTCTGTTAAAAAGGCCTTCAGCAACTACTTCAATAATTTTTTTTTTTTTTTCTCAAAGGAAAGCAAAAGTTTCTGGGAGAAAAAATTGAAATATTTCAACAAGATTTATGCATTTTTGTTAGGTGAAAAGTTTCCTGTTCTGAAAAGCTCAAGTCAACCAGTTTAAATTGTACTAACAAAGGAATGAGATTTTAAAGAACTCTCATTTCTTTTAAAATTTATTTTTATTTCTCCCTTTATTATTTCTTCCTTCTGCGTGTTTTTACTTTCTTTGTTCAATATACAGAAATAGAAGATTTAATAAGGTGTGAATGGGAAAAATTGGCAAGGATGTTTAAAAAAGGTGGTGTTCACTCTGAGCTGGTTGCTCTGCCTATGCTCGAAACTAGTCAGACTTATATGGAAGACTGATACTCTGCACCACAGGAAAATAACTTGTCTAAGGAGAGGCTCCAGAGGCAGTATAGCTCCCCGGGTAACTTCCCGTTGATGTCCATAGGCTTTGGATCAGAGTATGAAATGGGTGAGGCTGAGCTGGCTGCAGGAGGCAGGCTGCTCAAGTGGTACCTGCCAACAGCGGTGGTGGGGACAGGAGTGCTGAATTTGCCTTACTGAAGACCCTGAGGACGCAGCACACAGACACTCACATACCCTATCTAGATTTCCCGGTGCTATACACATAATCCCTGGAAGCAGTGATCTGCCACAAACTATTGCTGGGGTCAACATCCCCTATCATATCAATGATTGTCCAATGTGATTCATTGCAGGCAGGGATGCTCTTGCATTGCTTTGCTACTGCACTCCCATGAGGACAGGAGCCTGCAAGAATTCTGAAACAAAACCAGGTTATCACTACTCCATGGTTGAAAATGTGTCTGAAGATACTTGCATTATAGGGTTTATAATTGTCAGTGCCAACTAACAATTCAGTGATGAAGAGAATGATCATATACTGGAGAAGAAATGGTAATACAAATGCTCTCTTTTCAAGGGTAATAAAGGTAACACATGTTTTCAGATACAGGGCTGCAGCACGCCTTGAGACTGCACATAGAGTTGTTTAGAACAATTTTGGAGTCTAGTGGCTCAGCAGTTTGATATTTTGTTAAATATCCAGCTGTAACACAAAGAGCAAATTAAGAAAAACTTTCAGGTTAGTTGCAAGTGGAAAGACATTTTTATGCTTTAACTGACAGAGGTAAATTCCAAGACTGCAAAAAACCAAACTTGTTCCCAAACCATCACCCACTAAAAACAATGGATTAGACCTTGCTTCCCATAAGGGAAATGAAAAGCAAATACTTATGTTTAGTATTTTGTTAGAACAGATGATACTTTAATCGACTGAAGAAATTATTTCACATTGAGCTATTTGCTGATGGAGAAAATACACAGTGCAGTGGTGGCACTCAACCAGTCTAGATAGATTACCTGCATGCTTTGAAGTCTGTCATCAAGAGAGAAAGGGTATAGTTATGCAAAATATACCAACAAGAGCAAAATTGCTGGACAACATCATCAGTAAAAAATTGGCTTTTGTTGATTCTGGATTATGCACTTAGGGGAGATGACACACAAGCTCTAGTGTTGAACACTAGGAGATAGAAGGTATCAAGAGAGACTTGAACTATTAGCTTCTCACAATATAGTTATACAGCATCTTGCATAAATGTATCAGTTGCTCCAATCTGATAGGTACTATGGCAGTAATTTTCTGGTAATGGGTTGAAAATTCATTGCATGTTTGTCTACTTTGAGAAGTAAATCAGTGAACTGCAGAAAGGGGGAGATGAAGGCATCTGGAAGAAAGTATTTGGTACAGCTAACAAAGCACTGTCAACTGCACAGCTGCAAGTGCAGTGTGACTCCCTTTACCTGTGGTCCTCCCTTGTGACACCTCTCCTGATGGAGGAGGAGTTGTGGGCTCAGAAAGATTGGCAGAGGGCAGCGAGAAGCCAACCTCATATAAATCACGCACTTCTACAAAAACTGAAAGAAACGATGCACAGTTTGAGAAAGAGGCCTTGGGCAAAATATTTGTAAAATGAAATCAGATTAATACTGTCATGGAAGTTTTAGCTGACAAGCACACCCTTCCACTAAACCTTTTACTCTCCTTCTCACCTTCCAGTGTTGCACCTGTTTGTTGATTTTTGTCTGCAGTTGGATTGTAAACACAAAGACATAGGCACCACAAAGTCTCTAAACATTACGGTCATATAACACAGAGAGATCTGTAGTTAAACTAACTTATTGCCACAGGAGGCTGTGGATACCACAGGGGATAAGACAAATTCATGGAAATAAAAGCCACTGAGAACTAAAGCACCAGAGATATAACCTCTGATTCAGGATGTCTCCAAGCCACAGAACACCAGAAGGCTACAATGGAGGACATATTACTGGACTCTTTCCCCATCTGTTATCCTTCCCTTCACATCTCATGCTAGCCACCCTCGGTGACAGGATTTGGGGCTACAGGATCTGAGCACGTTCAGATCATAGTTTCTGAGCCAGTCTTTCATACACACAGCCTCCTACATGGTACCTCTCAATCACTTCTGCTGGAGCCCCGATCACTGATTCACCCAAGTAAATTAGCAGGCTAGGCACTGGGCCTGATCCAATACACTCGGCATACATCCTCCTCTGGAATGTGGTCATACTTAAAAAGGATGAGGATAAGGAAGATGTAATAGGAAAAATTTTGTATTCGTAACCCCTGATCCTTCAATATATTTGTTTTAAGTGCATGTGAGGTAGAGTGAGTACACAGATACTGAGGGGTCTGCAAAGTTAAATATTTAACCAGGAAAGTAACAGTACTTCAGTGAAAATGCAAGGTTTCCTTCCTAATTAAAATTTCACTTGTGCAGTATTTGATTTGTTTTTTCACTCTCACAAATATACTCCTTTGTGACTATTAATGTTGCATTCTGATACCAATATATGTGAATAAGTAATGGGCACATAATCAGCCTAAATTACAGATTGTTTACAATCAATTTCAAAACTCTGAAACAAACATTTCTTTGTCTCACTTTTGTGGAAGGCTATTGTATTAATCTCATTGTAATTTCCTTTCCCTCTCCATTTGATTCAGAATACACATACACTGCAGAACATGATGATATAGGAGAGAGTGAGTTAACAGGTCATAGCACTATGAATACAGAAAGTCTTTGACCTGGGCAAAGCCCTCTTTGACATTATTGGGAAAGATGGAAGGATATAAAAAATAGTCTTTGACATAAAAAATAGGTTGCACTGCATCTCAGATTACATTGTCTGTAAAAAAAAATGAGTTGAACTGTTATTTCACTGTAATATCTGCTGCTGAGAAATTGCTCATAAGTGGCAATCTGATTTGGAGCAAAAGATTAAAGCAAGTTTTAAAGCAAGTTTTTTCACAAAATATGGTTGCAGAAACCTATTTTTTATAAAAGTATAAAACTACCTCTGCAGACGCATGATCTAAATGTCCATTTTTACCATGCTGAACTTAAAGAAAGAGGGGTGCATTACAGATGCTGGAGAACAGCATGGAGCGGGACCCAGGGCCTGGATGCACTGTCTGGGTTTGGTGTGGGCCAGGGGGTCCAGCACCTGCAACATGCCACACACTTCGCTCACACCCCTGCAAACTGTTCCTCGCCACTGTCTGCAGGACAGAAGAATCTGTACACTTCACCATGGCAGACATATCTAGAACACAGGGAAACGTTCAGGTGAAGCATAGGAAGGCAATTGCTGCTGAACAGCCAGCAAAGGGCTGGAAGTGGCTCCCCCAACAAAGGAACATCTCAGAAAGCTGCAGGATGGAACATTAGCAAATATTCCACAGATGAAAACATCACTTAACCCTTGGGAGTCTCTGACTGTAAGAAACTGCTTTAAAAAACTTTGAAAATATGCACAGCTCACTAACTGAATTAGAAATATAGAAAAAAGCGTATGTTATTTAACGTTTTTGACTACAGTTTTGCCCAAAAGTCTCAGCTAGAAGTGTGCGTAGACAGATCTTTGTGGTGCGAGTAAACACAAACAGAATCCAGCCACGAGCTGCAAAAAGCTGAGAAAGTTTATTCTTCAGTTTCTGTGAAGAAATAAACAACTTCAGGCCATTATATGATACAAGGTTTTAAAAAGTTGAGCCTCAGAAAATGAGAATGAGAAGAAAAGGGAAGCAGGTACTTTATCTCTCTGTGATGAAGGGACCCTTTTCTATGAAGCAGCTTCTAGGTTTTCTACCTGCAGGGAAAAAAAAATAAGACATTGAAAGTATAGTTCATAATAGGAAAAAGAAATAATCAATATCATATCCTCACATTATTAGAAACACCTGCTCTTACCACTTCTAAGCATGCAGCATATGCCAGCAGACTGCTCTTCGTTGACCTGCACTGCTTATCTTGCAAGTAAGGGAATTTTCAGTGATGGAGTGCCTCACCTAGAGACCCAGCTTCTTCGCCTGCTCCTAGAGGTATCCATCCACCTGTATCCTGTACAAAATGAGAGAGAGATGAAATTAACAATGCATGCTGAGAAACCCCATGGCGTGCTCTGGAACCATGCCCCTGGCAAGGGTAAATTTCCCTGGGTTGGGCCCCTAATGAAGTAAACCCCAAAGATTTCTTACCTCTTTAAATGCCACAGTCCATGCTCAGGTGTGCTCAGCATAATAGAAACCAAGAAGGAATAATCCTCTGCTCTGGCACCAGATTTGTCCCATTGTACCACAGCCACATCTATGGCTTGACGTGTGAGGCAGAACAATTAAACAGCGTCAGTATTTGGAAATTCATGGAAAGCGGTGATGAAGGTATTGTTGTTCAATGACATATTTTCAGAAGATTACAGGATCTTTGAGGTCCAGACCCTAACACCACAGTGGGCTGTCTTGTCAGGTGCTGAACTTCATGTGTATTCCAATGACTGAGGCGAGTTTTTGTGATGAAGGAGAATAGGTTTTTTTCTTTGTTTTGGGATGATTTTGGTGTTTGGTCACTTTGTACAGTCACCTGCCTCTGATGTTGCAGGCTAGGAATCTTCAAAGACTTTAACAGAGAAGGCTTTGAAAATTCAGGAAGTGGAGAGGAATGCTGCAGGCACAAACTAGGGTCAACTCAAAAGTGACTGAAGCTATGGTGTCCAATTAAGCTATGTCATCAAATCCCACATGTCTTCAAGGTAGGTAGCTCATCTTGTGCAAGGGACACACCCAATAAATGTTATGAAAATCTACAGGCAGGAGGTACATCATGTTGAATCAGCAGATTACAGCTCTAAAGTTGTTATTACTGTTAACCAACAGGAGCTTTTGGAAGAGAGGTGGAACACATGAGGAATACTGGCTGTTCCACATTCTCAATTCATGCTATCTTGTACCGCGCTGCCATCTGAAAGTGCCTCAAGATGTTGACTGATCCCCTTCTCCAATGTGATTACAATAAGTCAAGGGTGTTTTACATGTGACAGGTCAGGTGTGTCCTCAAATATCTATGTTTGCCTGGTATGTTTTCCCAGTTTTATTTAGTAGCAACACTTGAATTGTCATTTGTGTCCACAGTGGGTGTCTTGGGAAGCCCTAATGCAGATATGTACCATGGACATTTCTCCAGCCACCTTCCATTCCTGGTATGTCATCCAAACCTGAGCCACATCGGCTTTGAGACATTTAATGTCCTTCCAGTAAATTCAATGCAGAAGAGACAATACCCCTACAAGCTGAGTAAGTCATATCCCACCTTATCATCTCAAAAGAGCATGCACAGGCTAGAAACATGCCCTAATGGATCAGCTTATGCCTAGGTGCCAGGATTATACCTAACAACTCTGAAATATTCTATCACCTGCACATTCCTATGAGACTTTTTATTGAATATCAAACTAGTGTGCTGCTACTAGTTAGGCCCTTCATACATTTTACCTGCTCTAGAATGGGTACTCCAGGCAAGGGCCATAAAAGAAAATTGTCAAGTCATTACTCAGGTATCAATAGTTCTGTCACACCTCATTCATCTGTATGGATTAGCCTTACCCCAAATTCTATTCCTCAACCTTTCTGTTACTGAGGAATTTCTATCCCTCAACATTTTTTGTGAGTCCTAAAAGGTGATCAATACCTTTGCTGTTTTTCAGTGAAATACACAGGAACCCTTAAAGAAGAAGTTAGGGATGTTTTCAAGATAGGCAATACTTTACCATTAACATCGTGGATGATGGTATTGATCTCTTAGTCATCAAGTAAAACTCTCAATCTTACATTCTTGGGAAATATATCTACCACTGACAAGCTAAACATACAGTTCTGTGGGCTATATTGAATCCCAAGTAAGAAATATTTTTGCAGGTAGGTTTTCTAGAGCTCTGTACTGTAGAAGACCATTTATTCTCCATAGGAAGAGCCACCCTAAATTTGCCCGTATAGTCAACAGGGAATGGCTGCAATAAGTCCTGCATTTGCACATTTGTGTAAAACTTTCATGATGATTCAGTACCCTGAGCATTTTTATCCAAGCTGAGTTTTCACATAAGGTGCAAGTACAGGCACTTATCTTGCATCAGGTGTTGCAGTTCACTGGCAAATGGGCATGAAAAATTCAAAGTGCTTAGCTTTGTCTGTTTTTTTACTTTACATGAATTCTCAACCAGTTGTGCCTGAGAGATCTTAGCCATCAGTAACTCCATCTTTCTAAGAATATATTAAAGCTCAGTTTTACCTAGTGTTCCAGATGATACTGCTCCATTAAAACCCATTACTTTAGTCCAGGCTTAATTGAACACTGTTTTTTTCCTGTATTCTTTCACATTATTTGTAGATATTGAAATAATATTCTTGGTTAAATGTAATTCAGCTATGCTTCTGAAAAATGAGTCTTTCTTTTTTCTTTCAATTTATAGTCAGAACCTCATTTTAGAAGTCCTAAAATAAGATCCTTCAGTAGCCAATGGACCTCCACAGGTCAGCTCATTCCAGTTCAAGATACACATCCAAGGCAGATGGCATAAATAGCCTTCTGGATACATACATCTTTTTCATCTGACCATGTGCAGCCTGATTAGTTTTTATATAGACAAAATAAGGCAAGATTAAACTCACCATAACCTTTCATCAAGACATATCATGCACAGCACTGACAAAGGGTTTTTCTACATTGCCTGCTTGAGCAGTTTGTAGGTCATATTCTTACTTGGTTTGTAGCTATGTTTTTTACACATTTGAAACACAACTATACAATTTCAAAATCTTCTGTTTGGATTAAAAAGTAAATTTTTTTAAAAAATATAATGTATACTTACCATAAAGCTTAATTTGAATAAATGTCAAAGCAGAACTTTGTTGTATGTGTGCTTGACCTTAGCAGTTGAGTAGCCTATTGATAGTGGTCTATCACGAATTAAACCTATCCATAAAATTAAGGCTGCTCTTAAGAACTTTTCAGTTTGAGCCAAAACCTTTTGTAGCTTTGTTGATATGTACAATCAGAGGTGGCTACAACATATGCTTTCTAAATGGCTGGATAATGAATACACCTTTTTAATTGAGCTGGATTTGACGTGTCTAAGAAGGAAAAAGAACACACGTAAAGAAGTTTTAAGCAGTACAATTGCTCTTGGTAGTTGTAAGAGGGACCATGAGTTGGCCATTTCTTAAATTACTATCTGTACTATAAGAAACACTTACCTTTACGCCCAATCTTTTAATAAAGCAAATAAATCTTATTTGAATGGGCAGGCATCCTAACATATTTTAAAATACCTGTATGAGTGACAAATAATTCTGTAAGAAAACAGGTTCTTCTTTCAGACTCCTTTTAAGTAGTAAAGTGTCTCTAAAAACCTGGGGAAAAACAGGACTTCCATTTCTGTGAAAGCATGTTTACTTTTGAAACATATATAGACATAAGAATTGAAGAGAAAACGGTAATAGTTTAAATATGAATTGTATTAATGAGAAAAGGGCAAGAATCTTGTCTTCTAAGTGGTTATGACTCATACCTTCCAATTATAGTATGCATATATCATAGTTCAGTAAAAAAATAATATCAAGCATCCTCTGGATAGAAGATATTCAGATACTTGGTGAACCAGTAGCTGGATTAACAGGCACCAGACCTCATCTTGGGAAAACAAAGCCAAACAGTGAGCCTGAGTCTTTTTTCATTTACCTTGCTGTAAAACACAAATAATTCTGCTGCTGCCAATTAAGTTACTTTATTGCTGAAACCAGTATGAGGACAGAATCAATCAAAAAACGTCTATGAATTCCAGTTTCTGATTTAATTCAACTTTCAAAAAAAAAATACTATGATTTTATATGAAAGCATACACACAACTTCAAACCCATTAAAATAAAGCTGCAAGTCTACTCTCAAAGATATATACTAAAAAAATAGTTCCCAAATCACAGAGCTCTGAAGTGCAGTCACTTAAGTGCCAAAGCGTAGTTTGCATTTGCTCAGCAGCAGCAGGGCAGAATGATGTATCCTGCAATAGAGCAGGGCCTTCTCCTCCCCCTCTAGCCTCCTATCATGCTGCTCTGTATCAGCGAGGCTGCGGGGACCTTGCACGACTCTGGTGTGTTGCAAGGACTGCCAGAGCTGCCCTGTGTCTTCTGGATTGTGCAAAAGCTTCTGGGAGTTGCAGAGAAGGTTAGAGAGTGGAAACTGTGCCTCTCCAGCATGTAGAGGATAGTTCAAATCAAGTGCTGTGTTCCAGAGGACTTCAGGGAAAGCAGCTATTGGGCAACCTCTGAAATGTCAGTAGGGGAAACAGATGGCCAAAAACCTTTAAAAAAAAGGTTTTTAATACCTAAAAAAGCATAAAGTAAGAGGCCCTTTTCCCTGGAGGACTCCTACAGATGAAGCGAGAACAAAGGTGGGACCTACACAGCTGAGGAAGCAAATTGCAGTGGATGAAGGGGGGAAGTTTCACCATGAGAGGTTTCATTTTTTTTAGGTTTTTTTTTGTTGAACAGCTGGGAATCAGATTAGTCAGAATTTTGTTCTGCCTCAGTCTTATTTTGTGCTACTCTATTTCTTACAGAACGTACAACTACATCCATCTCTTATATTGATGAGAATTTGCTTTCTTTTGTGCATGTTATCTATAACCCCTGTTCCTTTAGGTTTTATTACCACGTATTTTGTAAGAAACTCTATCAGTTGAAGCACAGGACAGAGGAATTCATGATGAGAGTAGGATTTTGAATGCAAATGGTGGCTGGGTACAGGGCTGACTGAACAGTTCTGACACCAACTCCAGCAGAGCCCTGTTTACATACAGCACTGACTCCCAAACATTTCAGCCCCTGGGATATTACCAGTCATCAAACTTCATTGTATAGCCAGATATAGCTGATAAATATCATGATCATGGTTACTCCTGAACATGCCTAGTTGTAGATCAGTTACGATCAGTGAATTAAAAAAAAATATTTTCCATAAACCAGTCATATTTCTCACTCACAAATACCAATACCACACACAGTGCAGCTGCGCTGCAGCTCTAAAGGCTCCCAACCTGGGGATTTGTACTGTAGAGGAATTGTTTGCAGTGACTTTGACCTGACAGGAAATGACATTCCAAAACTGCTCTTCTCTGGGCTCAGAGAAGAAGACCGATAAGGCCCAGGGTCAGAAATACAGAAGTCTCAAGCATTTATAACAGCAATTGAGGACAGTAAGAGCCGTGATTTGAACATAATGAAATTATGTATAATGCCAAACGGTCTGAGAAAGCATGCCCTAGGCACTAGGTCTCTTCTCCCAAGTAACAAGTGGTAGAACAAGAGGAAATGGCTTCAAGTTGCACCAGGGCAGGTTTAGATTGGATCTTAGGAAAAATTTCTTCACTGAAAGGGTTGTCAAGCATTGGAACAGGCTGCCCAGGGAAGTGGCTGAGTCACCACCCCTAGAGGTAAGAAAAGACATGTAGATGTGGCACCTAGGGACATGGTTTAGTGGTGGACTTGGCAGTGTTAGGTTAATGGTTGGACTTGAAGATCTTAAAAGTGTTTTCCAACATAAATGATTCTATAATTCTTTGATACACACAGAGGAAACACTCACCAGTCTCAGAAGAGGTTGTCTTCACAGAAAGAAGTTTGACTCCTTCTTTATCTGACTGGGCCCTGTTGAAGTCAGAAAACATTTGAGGTAGGTATGCTTGTTGATCAGCCAAACAAAACTATACAATTATGATCCAGAGGAGGCAGCACCTATGTCAGTCTACACTTTGCATGGGATCATGTGTAAGCCTTGGTGGTGGAAAACACCATATACCAATGTGTCTGAAAACACCTTTCTCTTAAAATACGTAATAGATCAAGTTGCATGACTCCAGGTTCAATCTAGTGCTCCACAGAAGAAGTACATCTATGGGAAAAGAGGGAGTCATCAAATGTTACTGATTCCTCTAGAGCAGGATAACCTGCTTTCTCTGTCAAAACAAGGCTTTTAGCCATGTTGAATTGCACAAAGGACCACTTCAGATGTCCAGGGAGTCAGGGCTAGCAAGTAAATCAGTAGTCCAAATGTGCTTTTGCCAAACAAAGCTAAGGTCACAGCCAGACTCAATGGCCTCTAGTATATATCTTCTAATAGATCTTTCTCAGTCTCACTTTCCTCAAACTCCTTATGCCAATACTGTTTTAACTGAGCCTCTGCAAATGGCCTAGTGAAGAGAAGATGGGGCAGAGGAACATAAAATAATGGGGGACACAAAAAGAAAAAGAATCCTGAATAAAGAAAATTAAAAAGAGAGAAAACATGAACAAAAGAATGGGGATGGGAAAGGAAAGGGGGAAGAAAAAAATCAGTGAGACAAAAATTGAATAAAAGAGAAAAAAGAATGGGCCCTGCAAAACAGTTGAGAGCATCACATTTCTCTCTATGCTGGAACAGCTTCTATCCATGCTGAAATAGCATACATACAAGTGTGCAATAACTGCAAGTGCGTCACTCTCAACATGATATTTCTCTTTGGGGTGGCAATGGCTTATTATGTTTAAACAGAGAAAGATCAAAGAAAATCTCATGCAGAATCTGCTGCATTCACAAGTGCCCCATGATAGATCAAAAAGCAACGAAAACACAGGATTCAACCTACTGTTCAGTGCTGTTCTCTTGTCTCTCTGGAAGAAGGAACAAAGTTAGTATCATTTTGACTGCTGAAACTCACTTAAGTAAACATTTAGACATAACTATTGTGGTTGCTAGCAGAAATCAGTATTACATTAAGTACATTAGCACAATCAACCAGCTTGAATAGTAATTGCTACTTTCCTAGTTCATCTTCCCAAAAGACAACCATGTCATCTATGAAAGTGAACTGATATTTCTCAAACCAACACTTCTGGAAACTAGGGGGAATGATATGTGACTTCTGCAAGAGGACAGCAGAAGCACTTTTTTCCCTGCAGCTCCCAAATCCCCAGGTAGCTGGCACAGAGGAGGCGAGCATGCAACAGTTCTTGGGTACATAACAACTGAGCTAAAAGAGAGAGTGAGGGGAGTGAGGGAACAAGCTGCCAGGCTGTACGCTCTGGGGGGCTTGGCTTACCCTGGCACAACATCTGAGAACACAGCCTCTCATCTCTTTTGACGAGGACAGGCTTCTCCCCAAAATGAATCATATACCAAATGTATTTTGTTCTTATGTGCAAGTGTGGGCAGATGGATGGGGCCAGAGGGTTACATCAGAGTCATCGAACCAATTCTATCCTCATGGCACTGAGCGCAGAGCTCTCCATCCACAGGGGAAGCACACTGAATGGCCCTGGGCAAATCCTACAGAAAGCACCACAGATACCCATCTACTCTAGCTTCCAAGTGAATTTGCTAGTATGGTGCCTGCTGGCACTTGTGCATGGTGGGGGGGCTGGCAAGGAAGTGTTCTTCACCTCGTATCTTTATCTCCTGACTCCAAATATTCAGTAATTTCCTAAGCAAGAATCACACCTTCCTCTGTTTATCTGGGAATGGTTTTCCATATCATTGGCTAAATTGGTTGCGACACACTGTTTGCCTTGGTTTACAGCTTCAACACCCTGTTGTAATTTAATATTTCCAAGGCCCGGTGACTTCACAGTTGAAGCTCTGTACAGGTCTCCTAACTCATGCCAGCTCACAGGGAGAGAAAAACCACAGTCTGGATTCAGATCTGGGTTTTCATTTAATGGAGAATTGCACTTGCCTGTGGCCCACTCAGGCAACTCTTTGAAATATTTGGCAAATGGAATTTAATGGAATTATACCCTGTTATCTTAAGTATTTCATGGACTGCAGTGAAACAGCTACTGGCTTTAACTGCTCTGTCAAAATGACTGTTTCTGAAAATACCGTTTGCTCAGAGGTTTTGCTCCTGTGTACGTTATACTATAACTGGAAAATTTTAGTTATATATTATGTAAATGTATGTGTATGTACATATGTATGTATGTATGTATGTATGAGGTATACCCTGAAAGAAAACATTGTATTTCTTTGCCTGCATCTAGAACAGAAATATAATAAATAGTTATTTTGTTAAACAATATCTCCAAACTTAGTTTTCACTGTCTTTTTCTACCTGATTGACTGATTATGTTAGCACAGCTGTTTGTTAGCTCTTTGTAGCTGCATGAACAAAAAGCTTTACAGCATTATATATTCTCCAAAAATCAGAGACAGTTTTGCTCCCTCTGTTTTTCCTACTGATTTTGAAAATGAAGTGTTACTTTCTCACTTTAGGCAAAATACTTTGAAATATGTGAAGCTTTCCTATCAGACTACTGCAACAGCTATGGTTAAGGTAATCTGACAAGACCCTAGAGATATTTGAATAATAAAAGAACTTATTGATCTTTTTACCCCCTCAGAGAAAGCAAACCAAATACCTGGAGTTTTCTTCTGGCATATTCTGTACAAAGCTACCAGTGAGAAGACAGAGAGGGTAATGACTATCAAGCTGATGACAACTGGCAAGATAACACCTGCAAAAGAGAGAGAATATAATTTTGTCTGCTGAGCCTGGCTTGCGTTGTCTCCCTGTACAGGCACTTGCATGTACAAAGGCAAGAGGCACCTCCAGCTCCACTTCACCAAATGTTACTGATTTCTCTGGAGCAGGGTAACCTGCTGCTCCTGTTATTACTCCCTCACCCACTGAGCCTCCTTTGCGGATAGAAGATTTTGGCACCTTCCTTCTCCCACCCTTGGTCCTACCCTGACACTCGCGCTGCCCTGTGGATCTGGTTTCACTCATTTTTTCTGTAGGAGAGTGAGGTTTTAGCACCTGCCCCACTGGAAGAACCATAATCTCAACCAAAACATTCACAATTCACCCCAGTGTTGACAGCTCCCACAGGTTTTGCAACAGTCGTGTTTTGGGAATAAAGTATTGATACATACAACTTATTTTTTCCTCTTTTTTGAAAATAAGACTCATCTGAAATTCAGCAACTGAAGCGATTATTTCTGTTTTAACACTGTACACCCAGAAAGACACCAAGGAGTTACATAATTCAGTAACATTCCCCACAGCACTTACAACCAGGGATAGAAAATACAAGATCTCCTTTTTAAATGAGGACATTTCTTTCCTTTTATTATTTCCCACCATCTGCCATTTCCTGACAGGTGTTTCCCAGCCAAGAAGCAAAAAGGAAAGAATTATGTAACGAAGAGAAGCTTTCCCGGGGAAATATATAAGCCCAGCTTCTCCTCATTTATCTTTTTTCTGGCAGCCATCGACCACATTCAAATTTAGCAGGCGCTCTCTCGCCTGCTGGCCTGAGCCCTGTGTTGGGGAGGCTGTGGCTGCATTCCCACAGCCTTCCAAAGCATCAGCCATCATACCCGTTCAATATTTAGAAATAGCATCTTCAATGGCTCTTGATGCAATTAATATTTAATATTCATATAGATGTGTGTGTGCATCTGTGGAACTAGAGGGAGAATCTGGAAACAAGCTTACAGTGGAGAAACATCAAATGTATTTTGCTAAACCAGTACTTTGGGTAGGAAATAGCAGATCTGTAGCACCACTCTTGCCCTAGAGATACATAATATTGAAAGATTAAGTAACATGCAGCATGAAAATATCATGCTTGAAGAGTCTGCAGAAGACTCCATCCTAGTCCTTCTCTCCCATGACAATACGAAAAATATATTCATATAATACATCCAGAACAATATATTCATATAATATGTACTCATAACAATATATGAACAACATTTTAATATGTTTATTTGTGTCTTCTCTCACAGGGAATAACTCAGTTCACTTTTTTTTTGTTTTGTTTTATCACTTTGAATCAGGAATCAGTCCTTGGGAATAATTGTGCTGCTCTCCAATGAGAGTGGTGTCAACTTGTTAAGTTCTGATTCCCTTTGAGTGGAGTTTTATAACAGGCAGTCAAATTGGGTTTGTAATAGGGTCTACATCTGGTAAGGCTAGAAATAAAACTGCCAGTTTAATTTCTCTGCTACTCCAATCACTCATTGAAAGCCAAACTAATTGAAACTCAAAAGCTGGACAATAAAGTAGGAACACTCACTAGAATAATGGATATCAATCCCTGTCACCTTCTTCTTTCCAGAATCGCTTTCAGGACTGTCAGAAACTAGATTTGCAAAAAAAAAAAAAAAAAAAAAAAAAAAAAAAAAAAAAAAAAAAATTGCCTTTCGGGTTAACATGTAATGCCAGAAGTTCCCAGACAACTCCACCTGAAAAATTACCATCCCAAAACAACTTTTGTGTCCCCAGTTCTGGAGCCGTTTGGTGCCCCACAGTTATAGCTCTCAATGATACATGGATACCTTGTCAAGAGGGGTGGAAAAGTTGATCTAGCATTGCCTAGAAGAAATACACACTTTGCAGCCTTCCCTAGGATCAGCTGCTTGTGCACTTAGGTTATGAGAAACAAACTTTTTCACTTGTAGGAGGTTAAGGTACTGTTCAACATTAGAAGAGAACTCTTAACAAGCAAATAAACAAGAGAGTAAAAATCAGACCTGCCTCCAAAAGAAGAAACACCAAAATATTTCACTGCTAATTAAAAGAGCTAATAGCAGATGAAGAAGTCCAAAGTGCAATATTAGCTAACAATGTTCTTGAGAGTTGAGTGTTATAAAGTGATGTGTGTACTCTCTGCCACATTTGGGGACAGCAATGATTGTTGGGAACCTCTGGGGCATTTTTTAGGGCAGGGTTTAAAGGAATGAGTGTACGGTCTGCCGGATCAAGCACTGGCTGGATGGACAGTCCCAGAGAGTGGTGGTCAATGGAGCTAAATCTAGCTGGCAGCTGGTCACAACTGGTGTTCCTCAGGGCTCGGTGTTGGGACCATTTCTGTTTAACATCTTTATTGATGATCTTGATAAGGACATAGAGTGTGTCGTCAGTAAGTTTGCAGATGACACCAAGTTAAGCAGGAGTGTCGATCTGCATAAGGACAGGGAGGCTCTACAGAGAGACTTGGATAGACTGGATTGGTGGGCCAACGTTAATGGGATGAGCTTCAACAAGGCCAAGTGCCAGGTCCTGCACTTGGGCCACAACAACCCCAGGCATGGCTACAGGCTTGGGGAGGTGGGGCTGGAGAGTGGCTGGAAGAAAAGGATCTGGGGGTTCTAATTGACAAGCAGCTGAACATGGGCCATCAGCGTGCCCAGGTGACCAAGAAAGCCAATGGCATCCTGGCTTGTATTAGTGTGACCAGCAGAAGTAGGGAGGTGATAGTGCCCCTGTACTCTGCACTGGTGAGGCCACACCTGGAGTATTGTGTCCAGTTTGGGCACCTCAATATGAGAGAAATATCGAGGTGCTGGAGCAAGTGCAGAGGAGGGCAACGAAGCTGGTGAAGGGCCTGGAGAATAAATCCTATGAGGAAAGATTGAAGGAGCTGGGAATGTGTAGTTTGAGGAAGAGAAGGCGAAGGGGAGACCTCATCACTCTCTACAGCTATCTGAAAGGACGTTGTAGATAGGTTGGTGCTGGTCTCTTCTCACAGGTGATTAGTGACAGAACAAGAGGGAATGGCTTTAAACTGCAACAGGGGAGGTTTAGACTGGACAAGAGGAAAAAATGTTTCACAGAAAGAGTGGTCAGACAGTGGAATAGGCTGCCCAGGGAGGTGTGGAGTCACCACCCCTGGATGTGTTTAAGGGTGGTTTAGATGAGATGTTGGGGGATACGGTGTAGGGGAGAACCTAGTAGAGTAGGGCTGATGGTTGGACTCGATGATCCCAAGGGTCTTTTCCAACCTGAATGATTCTGTGAATGCATTTTCACATGAAAGTGTTAATCTGCATTTGAGTCAGGTATCAACAACCCCAAATTATTACTACTTTGTTGTATACAGTCTGTGGAAAAACAATCACTGAACTCTGAGAGGAAAAAAAAAAAAAGAAAAAGCAAGCATTGGTGCTTCCCTAGATACATTATAGAGCACACAGGGTTTTATTCTGTGTTGGACGGAGGCTTGAGTAAACATGTGCTTACTGTGATTGAAAAAGCTGACCAGCTGGACAAGCGTAATGCAAGGCTGAGCATTTCCATTACTCATTTAAATGACAGAAATGGCTCTCAAACCAACGTGCCTGGGGAAGGTGGTCTCTCAAGTAGGGGTTCTTGTAGTGACTATAGCTCCATATATAAGTAGCAAGAACATGGTAGCAGCCACTGAGGTTTTGTTGCAGGCTCTGATCCACTGCTCAGGTACCCACTCATACCCCACACCTGTAGGAGTGCACAGTCCCTCTTCTAAAGAAGAGAAGAGGGCTCAAATTCATGGGTGGAAGCTATGAAATTAAATGAGTCATTAAAACCAATTTCCCAGGGCCATTTTGAGGGCTAGAATACAATTTTGTTCTGCTAAGTCTCCAAATGACATGTCCCTATTTTTACAGAAGCTTTTGTATAGGCAGTACTTGTAATTCTAGTCTGCTGAATTAGAGTAACAAACAAGGTTTGTTTGTCCCAACCATGTAGGACTCCCTCTTCCTTGCTGCACTGATTTTAAACTCAGGCCCACTATTGAGAAATGTTCTGACGATTATTTTTTCTCCCCTATTGCCCATATTCCCATTTTCACAACATCCTAGTCTGTTCAGATACATAGGAGTATATTGTCTCCTGATGCAAGAGGAACAAAGCAGAGAACTGCCAGGTGCCAGTTTCTCCACAGGTCTGCCGGATATGCAATCATGAGATTTTCCAGGTAACTAGGAGCCACATGGTCCTACATAAAAATGTATGTGGATTGACTGGTAGTGGAAAAGGAAAGATTTGAGAGTGCTGTGTTTTCATTTTTGTTCTACTGTTGTGTAGTTGTGTGAATTTTGGGCAGACTGTTTAGCTTCTCTGTTTTCTTTCCTTCTTCCACTGCTCCCCAGCTTTCATTTGTCTGGCCAGAGACTGAAGCCTCCTAGGGAAAAATGATCACTTACTATGTGCTTGTGTGGTGTCTAAACATTGCAGCCACAGCTGAGACATTCTGATGCTATACTTTAGGAAACAATCATTGTCCATGTCCCTTATCTCTGAAAAATCACTATGTTTCTTTAAAGCAGAAGTTCTCTCTCCCATGGTGCCTGTCTGCTTGGGGGTGATAATATAAGGATGAAAACTGTGAGCCATCATCAAGTGACTGAAATAATTCTTATGAATTTGTAATTCCATGTGACTGCTTTAGATTTCCCAGGGAAATACCACTGCCCTTTCGCTACCTTACCTGATATACTACATGATATACAGGGCAAGCAGGCAATTATCACAGCAATGAGCTATCCTGGATACTGACTGAAAATGTCAACAGAAACAAATTACACAAAAAATACGAATCTATATCCCTGCATTCGTGCAGCATCGCCTCAGGAGAAAAAATGAGGATTCGAATCCATTGGTTATTTTCCTAGTTCTCTGTTAAATGACCAAGAGGTGAATAATACAGGAAAGAAAAATCCATAGGTTAGCATTTTAACTACTTGAGACCATCAATAATAAATACAATAACTAAAAAGTAGCACTACTGAATGAATAAAATGGATTAAGGTATTAAAACCTTTAACACAGTTACCCACTTCATTCATTAAAGATTCTCACAAGCCAGACCATCCTGTCTACTTTCTCTGGATCTGGAAAGTCAATATGGAAGATATTTTCCAGCTATGGAATGATCTGGGATCAGAACAATTAATCGGAGTAAAACATCCATCATGGTAACAGGAGGGACTAGCTTTTGCTGGCAGCAGCAGCAAGAACTGCAGGGACCTGTACAGAAGAGACTGTTTCCTGACAAGCCCAGAGAAAGGAAAATAGGACAATACACGTTCCCTACACAGGAAACTCTTGCCTTACTCTGGGACCTGCTGCGTCTAACCACAGAACGAGGAATGAGACCCACTGACAAGAAAAAGCTCCATGGTAAACACTCTATTTATATCAGTTTCCCATTGCATCACACAACTCACCCGGCCTGAAATTTTTGTGCTCCCACCCTGTTTTCTTTTCAGTATCTGCTAGTCCAACACAGCATTCAGCTGAAATCACAGCAAAGTTACTCATTGCTACAGTTGAGCATCACTCCTCTGCTTCTCTGTACTACGCTTCAGGTTCATTCTTTCCCCAGAGCCTCCTTGTTCCCTGAAGTTGCCCTCCTTCCACCCCACCCCACCCCTTTTCATGAGTGCATAGAGCACTCTTCCATCACTCTTACTTGTTGATTCTGTTGGGGATCTCACGTGAAGGCCTGCAATAAAATAGATGTAACAGGTTTGTTAGTATCTATTTTAGATATCCAGAGTCTGCACATCATACAAACTAGCAACGTACTCAGTAACCCCACAAGAAATGCTGCCCCAGAACTGACATGCTGACACTGTTCCCGAGCCCAGAAAGTCTGAGCTATGAAAGTCTGCAGACATCCCGTGCAGATGGGAGCAGAATCCAAAGACCAGCCCATACTAGGTTGTTATTCTGCTCAAGAGAAGAAAATCCTGAATTAATTGATACATTCCTAAAAATTCCTCTTGCCAAAACCAAATAAATGTCTGGGATTGAATAGCTGGCATTTAACTGACAAATAAGTGTTTTAATAAAAGAAACTCAATGCCTAATTGAGACATGTCTTCAAGTGTCACAAAACCCTTTAAAAATGAATCTTCATTAATTATCTTGGTGCTTTTGGCTAGCAGACTGTGGAGCAGCAGGGGTAAGAAGCACTGGTAATGAGGAAGAAATGGACCTTGCAGAGCACTGTGCACAATGCTTACTGGACCACTACTGTCAGCTTCCCGCAGCCTCTTCACAAGTTTCTAGTGCAGAACACTAACTTTTTGTTAGCTTTTTGTTAGTATGCTGCTGCTTTGGTGCGTCTAGACTGTAGCAGGCTTGGAAATTAAAGCGGCTGTGAATACTTCACATTTGGAGGCTAGCCACAGACAACCACTGCTCCCACAGTGATTTTTATTATGTTGCATTAAATCCCTTCTGCGATCACTCTAAAGTCAAAGACAGCCAGGCACCTAACTCATCCATGTCTTTGAGAATATCCACCTGCTTGAACTGGCAGCAAAACATTTATCTGTTTGTACAAGACAGACTGTCTCTTGCCAGGGATGAGTTACTGGCACTTTGCCCTCCTGGTGAGGCCTCTCACACTGGATTACTGTGGAAAAAAAATCCCTCAGGCACTATATATCCTCAGCAGCCACTCATTATTTTGAGGTATAAATCACAGTGTTTGGTCACCTTCCTCTAGGTTGGAGGGTGCCATAAAAGCCCCCCTATTGGGTCTCTTTAGGGTTCACTGCTGCCACAGCATCTGTGGGGGACGTGGTACATCTGACCCTGTCCCAGGAGGATGTGAACCATCAGCACATCCTCCGTGTCCCCAGCTGTGCCAGGCTGGGAGACCACTGAGGGAGCAGCATGGATGCAGCTGTAACTCCAGGCAGGCACTGAACTTCTGCCCTGAGTGCCTGGGAGTTGCAATGCTCCTCCTCCAGCCAGGGTCCCCTGGGAGTACAAATCCATTCTTACATCATTGCTGCACTTTCTGTGCTGTGGACTGATGCTTTGCACAAAGACAGCTCCTACCACCAGAGCTGTAACATGAGTGAAGCACATTATTCTACTGCTGTGAATGTACACTTTGAAAACGAGAATGGCTGGTCTCTTTTCTCTTCTTTACACCCAATTTAAAACATGGATCACTTGAGCCATTGGGGTGCAAACAACCACTTTTGCAAATTATATATGACAGAGGTTTAACTGCATTTTAATCACAAACATGCTTGAAAAGCATGCTTAGGTTGAAAAGTCAAGTAGTTAAAAAGTCAGCAGTAAGAGCTCTTGAACATACTAAGTATTAGTAATGTTAAGTACTCTGAAGGTATACAGTTATCTCACCCTGACTTCCTAGGATCCAGAAAAAAAACTTTTTTTCCTAAACTTTTAATCATCTTAGCAATCCATCTGCAAAAAGCAATGTCACCTTGCTCAGAGACCATCTCTGTGATGATTCATTAGGCAATGTTTATAGCATGTTTGGGCAACATTAACAAGAAGAGACGAGGAAAAACTTTTGGAAAGTTAGTAACTCACATGTCAAAGGAGGTTTGGAACAATACACAGCACAGAACACAGCAGGACAAATATCCAGCATTAAGGAAATATCCAAATAAGATATGATGGCTTGTTACCCAAATACTGCCTTTCCTTCAGCCTATAAGGAGTGGGATCCCATGGCAAAAAAAAACATGTGATCACACAGCAATGGTTGAACAATCTAACCGTAAGGTCCTGTGTGTGCATATTCTTGGAGAAAGGCAGAAGACCTTGTCAAGTGTTACAAATAGGTCACTTCTCTATGAAACTTCAGATCTTGTCTCCCAAGCCTGAGGAGAGTTGAGCCTTCCTAAGAAACTCCCCTCAAGAGTATAGATAGTTATACAGTTTCCCTTAACTTCACTCCTGCAAACAAAGTGAACCACCTTGGCTCAAATTAGAGAAAAAAAAGACATAGAAAAATCATGTCAAGCAAGAGACTGATATCCAAGTTCACCCCAAAGACTTAAGGTTTATCAAAGCTGTATGCAGGTGACATTAGGCTCTGTGAACAGGAAGGGTCAGGTGACCTGTGGTTCAGTACGTGCAGGCACAACCAAAAGCCATGCTGCTGTCCTGGCCAGACCCTGCCACTTAAATAAACTGAGACAGCAGTAATGATCCCAGGCAAGAAAGATGACAGCAGCCCCTGCCCTTCCTTCAAGGACTGTAGAAGCCTCCTGAGCGTGTTATTTTTTAAACACTGCACACATCTACAACAAAATAGAACTACAAGCATCTTTCCCAAAGATTTTTCACCCAAATTCTGCTAGAGCATGAAAAATTAAATAGGAAAATCTCATGCCCTTCTCTCTCTCCCCCTGTCTCCAGTATGCAAGCAAGGCACCAGCTCACCCTCTGTTCAGAGATTGCTCAGCCCTGTCACACAAACAAAGCTGTGCTTACTGGAGCAGTTCAGCAGGTGCTTTCAGTTTGCTTTTTCTAAATAACCATGCAGTGCCCTTTTTGGTGGTGGGGTCACATGCTGCTGTTCTACAGAAAGAGGACAGCAGGAAAAGCAGCATTTCACTGGCTAACATCGTTACCGTAGATGTTCTAGCTGCCTGTTCAATCACATCCTTTGGGGCTGTGAGTTAGGGGGCAGATGCTCTGCATAAATAATCTGGGAAGATTTCCAGGTTCATCATGAAAAGTGAGGTGTGCAACACTGGCTGTGCTGAGTCCTCGTTGTGCAGTAAGAAGGGCAAGGATAAAAAATCTGGCACATGGTTTGATTTGAAAATACCTGCCTGAGTAAGTTCAGTCCTGATTAGAAGCTTGACAGATGGAGAAAGAGACCAATAACTAACCTCTCCCCACTCTGTTCTCCAACGACCGCTACCCAAGCAGCCTGGATACCCTGCAGTTCGCTGCTTCTGTTTTTTGGAGGGCAGCCACATGAAACTGTGTTCACTGGCAAAACAAATGAATAAATTTGGCTGATTACTCAGAGGAGATACCACAATATAAATCAAAGCAAAATTAAGAACTTTAAAAAACTCTCCTTGCCCTGACCATGCTATAGATCTGTAATTGTGTTAAGGAGGCTTGCTATATTCTCCATCTCACAGGCACTTTGATTTTTGTGTCTCTCTTTGTGAAGAAGCTGAAGATATGGTGGGTAACTTTTACCTAATATCACTATCCAAAGTTCCTACGCAGTTTGTGTACAGAAACAGTCAAACCCTCCTTGTCTTACTCATAAGATTTTTCTTAGGGAGATGCCTCCTGTGAATCAAGTGAGTAGGATTTATAATTGGAGGAGTGCAATAAAGATATCAATAGATGCAGCAGGTTGATTCATCTGACAGTTTATTATAATAGATCATTTGATCTTACCACCCTGCTGGGTGAACTTAAGCTCATACTGCTTTACGGATTTTTTGTTGTTTAGGTCACAGAATAAAAAGCTAAAATACCTGCAGTTTCTCAGATGTATTTAGACTCTGACTGATCCATTAAATCTCAAATTTTTCATTAATTAAACAAAAGGAGAAAATTAGATATTAACAAGCAATCCTCTGTGGAGGTGGAAAACGAGTAGGAAGTATATTATATACGACAGCCAAAGTTAAAGAAGTGTGTCAATGGCACGCATGCAGGTTGCTCTCTTTGCTAAGAACAGTCCCTCTTGCCTTCTCTAGCCTGGGTGAGCACTACGCAACCCCTCCTCTGTGGCTGGTGGTTTCAATCTTATTTAATACAGCAATACTGTTCTCTGATGTTTCTCCAAGTTCTTTCCTAGGCTCCCCCACTCATTTCAGCTTCTCTCCAGCTCTCTGTGGCACTCCTCCCACACCCTGATCTTTTGATATGGCTGACTGGAAATCTCTCTTCAAAATGTGCCTTTTTCTTTTTCTGCAGCAAGAAAGGAAATTTTCTTCAAAATGGCATTTTTTTTAAAAATGGAATATGGTCTCAAAACTAAATATATTCTTTGCATTGAGGTTAGCCAGCTGAATTATTTGGTTAAGCATACCAAATAGAAACACTCTGTTTTGGATCAATTTCACATGAATTTTTCTTCCCCTGAGCTCCCACGCAGAAGCTGTGGCTTGTGTGACTTCGGCTTGCAAGATCTGCTATCCCCTGTGAGCTGCAGTACCAGCCCCATTGCACATACCAGTCTCTGTTCTGGTGAACAAAAGGTATCCAGCCCCTACATAAGCCCCTGAATGTGAAATTTCAAAGAACTAGAAAGAAATAATCTAATGGCAGTGAGAGAGTCAGCATTTCTTCTAGTCTCAATACAGAATTAAACAACTCGCTTCACACTTGTATTGTTTTAAAAGTTATTAGGGTGCAGCATATGGCTTTCCTTGGCCTTGAGCAATTGCACATTGGAGAAGAAATCTGTATAGAGGGAACAAAAACATTTTTTTCCTGAGGTCTTTAACATATACAGAGAATAAGGGAGCAAGTGTGGTCTAAAGGTGCACCCATTTGGTATAAGCTACCTAACTCATCAGGATGAGTAATGGGATTTCTTTCATATTTAAGCTGCAAGAAAGAAGTGAGGAGCTGGTGCTGTGAAGAGACAGGAAAGGTGCAAGCACAGAAATCCTGGTGCAGGAGAAAGTGATTTTGAAATGGCAGTTTTATGGGAACTCAGAGTACTGGCTATGCCAAGCACCTAGACTGACTCCCTCTGGATAGATGGGCCTTTCTTTCTCAACCAGGCAATTATTGTCCTGGAATCATGGGTAGTCCCCAAGTTCAATAAGATTTATTGGTTTTACAGCACACTGAGCTGAGTAAGATGATGAGTTTCACAAACAGTTCCAAGAAAGGTTGTAAAATGTTCTGGGCAAATTTTAAATGTAAAATCTAATTGTACAAACAATGTAATAGGTAAGTCATGTGATCCATAGCCAGATACATATTACAATTTCATTTTAACCTGGAGAATTTACCTGTGTGAGAGAACCTTTAATTAAAAACATCGTCATTTACTGCTTTATTGCAGTGTACTAATGGTAAGGTTTTCATACCACACATGTGTCTGCCAAACGACACAAACCCCAACAGGATAATCAAGTAACTACAGCTCACAATATATGCATTATGGGGCATAGGTTTATTGAAATAATTGCAAAGAATCCTCTCTAAATCAGTGGCCTTGGATTAAAAAATGAAAAAAACCAACTTCCTTAAAATGTTTATTATTTTATCTTTTTACATGCTTCTAAGTATTTCAGTGTACACAGAGCATGTATTATTGCACATTTATATCCAATCCTATGAGCAAAAATCACAGTACATGTGCATGCTTATCTCCCACAAACACTATCCAGAGGTTGTAAAGAGTCTTGTATCCCTTGAGGGATGTTAAACATTAATAATAATTGGGATATGCAAACAAAGTCAGTGTCCTTATTGGATTTACACATGTGTAGCTGAAAGTAAATACTGAATGAAGTGAAGGCTTAAGAGACCTTAAAGAAAACCTGAATAAGTAGTTCTTCAAAACCGAGGAAAGTTAAGCCAGCTAGAAACATAATAAATGATCACTCATATGACCTAGCATCTGCATTTCCCACAGTGTTCCTTAGTGGATAAATACACCAAAACATACCCAGAAAACCAAGAAAACTAGACTGGAGTTGGGAAGAATTAATATCTTTTTGACCTTGCATGTGACCATGTTGTACTTTTAACAATGTCTTTTAATTGGTAATATGCATTAACTTGCCCTCCAGATTTATTATCAATTGTAAAAATTATAGCTGTTTTCTCCTTTGTCTCCTTTGCTTTGCAGCCAGAGAATTTATCTTGATGACCTGCTCTGGCAGTCAAAGCTACACAATGACCACATACAGCATATGTAAAGATTTCTATTATCTTTTGTAATTTATATCCTCCTCTAATGACACTGACTATCCCAAGTGAATGTTTTGAAGTTCATCCATCACTCATCATAACTTCATAGCCAGATGACATGGACACAGTATACCCTGCATGAATATGGAGGTGGCCCTCATTCCAGGACAATGCACAACAAATGAAAAGATCCAAAATTATTTGCATCTTTTTACCTGTTCATATAGGAAAATATAGCATATATTTTCAAGACTTACCTGAGGTTTCAGGATCAGAAGTGGTTTTTTGTAGAAAGACTGTAGAAGAAAAAGACCATCCCTTAGTAGATGAAACATCCAAACTCTCATTTTGGGCCAACTGTGTTCTACTTGTTTGTGTAGCTGAAAATGAGACAGACGTTCAGGTAAGATACACCTGTATAAGTATTGGTTTAGATCCTGAATCATCCCTCAGAAAAACAAAGACTTAAGGTCAGAAAGCACTAAAGGTTCTGGTAACTGCTTATCAAGCCATGAACCATCCCTATGGAGTTGTTACTACTAGCATAGTTGAGGCATCTTTAAAGTACATCCTAGCATCAGAAACAGCCTCATATCTGTGCCAGAAGACATCCTAGAACTCTGACTTGGGAGCCCAGAATAACTAGACAGTCTTGAACCAAAAGCAACATGAGCAGAAGAGAGAAGCTTGCTTACTGCTCTCTATCTTTGACCTTCATTTAATGAAAAAATAAAAAGAGCAAGCTTCTGTCACAATTGTCACATAATGAGATGCTGTAAAAAGTTTTAGGGGTTGTAATTAAGTGCAGAGTTAATTATTTTATTCTGTGTTGTTAAGGCCTAGGAAATAATATACCCCTGAAAAGTAATGTATGAAAAATGAAAGCATCTTATTTCTGCTGTCACGGTCAATAGAGGATCAAGGCTATCTGTGTCACAAGATTTGCAGCCTAAGGTGAGTTGAAGATGATGGTTCAGGGCACCACCTGAGCCGGTGGAACTGAAGGTCACCAAATGACAAAAAGAAAGAATTTAAGCTGTTCCAGAACAGCTGATAATTCTTAGGTCTATGCTCAAACCTCAGCATAACAGCCAAGACAGTGCCTACTGAATAAAACATAAGGGTGTCCAAGAGTAACCTTATACTTCCTTTCTGATATAAATCAGAGATGCAGCTGAGCTGTAAACTCTTTTCAGTGCCTCTTCATATGAATTTCAGACACTGGAACTAAAACAATTTAAAGACATACTTTAGTCAAATGAGTGCAACATCATGCACAGGCCACATGAGAATCTTGAGGAATGTTTCATCCCATGCTTTATTCAGAAACTCTGATTACCAGTTTGTCCCCTCAAAGAACCCTTGACTCAGGAAAAAAAAACCCAACACCTATTCACCAAATAGGGATTCTACCACCATACATCTTTAACTTTGGCTCTTCCCTTCCCCTCTTGTTTGTTAACTGCTATACCTTGGAGAGGTAAGCTTCAAAAAACAATTACCTAAGAAAGAGTGAGCTGAAGCCACTGGAGTCAGGGGATTCATACGATTTTGGGAACTGAGAGGAGCTGGATGGCCAGGAATGGTATCTCTGAATGTCAAGGCATGGCAGGAAATTGTAGGGAAAATTATGCAAAACAGGTTTAAACACCTAAAACTTTCACAGGGATTCTAGGATAAGAAGCATAATTTCACTGTCAGCTCCTCCCGGAAACCTCAGCATTGTACTCCTTCAATACACAAGCCTAATCTGCGGTAGAGATGAGTGTAAAAAGCCCCTCGGGGTCATTTTTTTTACTATAATATAATACAAGAATCTTAGAACTTAAATAATTCCTGCATTCTGATCATAGAAGCCTCGAATGAATGTTTAAAAGCAAGGTTTTCCACTTTTGGTTCTTCGGACTCAATTTTTAAATGTTGAATTTTAATCCACGATCAATTATAAAAAAAGCGCGAAAAACCTCAAAGAACCTCTCTCTCCCTTTAAGATGCATGGGCTTGTAACAGTAACAGCAACCATCTTGTGGCTCCCTTAAGTTGGTAAAAGCTTGCATGAGAGAACGAAAAGTAAGGCAGAATAACAGTAAGCCTTCAAGTACAGAGGCATCTGAACACAAACACACATTGTGAATACTGCAAAACAATCAGGTGTGTGTGAGAGATGGGGAAGGAGGCAGCCAGTTGCCTTGTAAACCCACAGAGAGCTGTTTTCCCATGGGGATCACACGTTCCAGGCATCCCATCAGTCCTGGCAGCAGCCCAGCCCCAGGCGCTCCTCTTGTGTTTGGGAACTGCAAGAACAGATTGTTCTTGGGAACATGGGCTACGCGCTGGATATGCCTCCATGGGGGATCAGGAGGGAGGGATAATAGCGTTTCCATTTAATTTTTTTTTTTTTAATATCAGGGCTGGGTGAGATTATTCCTGTGACTTGGGTGGCACCAAGATGACTCACACCTTTACCTAGGGCTTGGAGTGAAGCTTGTTGCATTTATTCCGGCAGACTGCAGAACAGGCTCCCTGCTCCTGGTGTCAAAGGGTGAAGTAAACATGCTACAGTGCAAAAGTCTCTGTGCCCATTTTCACCACTTCCAAGATGAAAAACGCAACCTGGCACAAGGAAGGTTCCCTTAATTTCAGTGCCATAGGATTAAATTTTAGCATACCAATTCTCTGCTGACTTGTGGCTTTAAAGCGCCTTTTAAGCAGCATCCAAGCTTTTCGCCTAATACACAGCATAGGCTCTACCATCAACACATTTAGCAGATCGAATCACTTCTGTGCCAAAAGCCTATGGGAACAGAAGCATCCATATCCAGCCACTGCTCGCGTACGCGATGGCAGCACTGACAGCACAGTACGCCTGCTAGAAATCTGCCTTTTCAGTAAATCCCATAACTCATATCTATGCAAGGTTTAATTTGATCTCAACAGGAGGAGACAGTGCAAGTCCTCACTGCAGTGCCCGTGCTCTGCGCGGGAACAGGCGGGGGACTGCGCGGGCACATGGTGACTCAGTTCTGCCGTCCCTACTGACACATCGCTGCAGTAATTCATCACGCTCCGGCTCAGCCAGCTGCAGCAAAGATTTCTGCCTGCCTGGCAGGGGGAGGCCTGGGCTCAGGGAAAAGCAGCACAGCAGAGAAGGGTGGCTGCAGCGGCAGCTGCTGCTGCTGCTGCTGCAAAAGCACTCACATCATTGGTTAATGGGTTTGTTGTCAACAGCTGATTATGAATAAAAATGGTAAAGCAGTAAAGATTGTACAATAGCTGTCCAAATGCGGATGATTGCTGCAGCAGCAGAACTCCCTGGTGGTGATGCAGCTCTCCCTGCTGAGATTTTGATAAGATAAATGACTATGTGTTAACATGTATTTGTCAAAGGGATAATCAACAACAGGGAACCTGAAGCTGCTCTGCAGAGCTGCTGTCTGAGCCTCAGGTATTTCTTTACTCTTTGTGCTCTGAAAACCCTTCATTTTCTTTAACCAGCTGAAATTCGAAACATATCCTCACTTGATCTTAGCATGATTTTCTACTTAACCTATATATAATCCACATATATTTTGGAATTTCCCAACAGTACTTTAAATTTTCTTTACAGCAGGCTGTTACCTAACTAGCTTTGACATCATAAGATGCTTCAGGTAAGCAGCAAATACTCTGCATATGCTCTATGCACTGCAAGATAGACATTTGTAAGTGTGTTGAGACCTTACTTGACCAGTCAATGAATCAAGGACAGACCTTCACAAAGCAGAAGGAACTGCACCCAAACCATGTTAAAATGCCAGCATGAGGGCTTTGTTAGTTGGAAGACTAAACCTTCTCCCTTAAGCTCATATCTTTAGGATAAACACACATATAGGCCTCGCCCCTGTAATTAATAGTCCCAGAAACTGTTTGCATTAATGTATGCATTCATGAAAGCTTTGAGAAATCCCAGCGTAGCAAACCCAATGCAACTTCACTCCCATTCAGCAGAATGGAAATTGGCTAGGAAGGTAATCGGGCAGATCTCAGTTGTAATGTTTACACCCAGAACTGATTGCATCTACTGTCTGCCAACTTTAAAAATATATGTTTTAAAACATCTCTCTGCCTAACATATCTCAGGAGTCAACTATACTCAGTGTTTACCTATAGCATGCAGTAATGACCTGAGGACAATTGAGAAATACATGTTACCATAACTCTCTTCTGGTAGTTTCACCAAAGTAAAGCTTCCTTCTTAATTACCAGTAGTTTGATAAAAAAAAAAAAGTTAATCTTCTCCACTCTTTCCTTTTCTCACTTTTTAATATTTAGTATTTCATTGCACCATGATGTATCATCATCCAGGAGAGCAGCATGAGATAAATCAGAAACATAACAGCCAAAAATCCACCCTTACTTGTAATTTAATACCTTGAGCACTGATCTTGCATAAGATGCTTGCTCTATATCCAAGGGAGGAAGAACACAATCTTTTGTTGCATTTCATTTTGTATTCCCTTTCATAACTTCAGATGTTTTAGGATATGAAATCCCGATTGCACATGCAACTTGCTGTAGTGTGGCACCATATGAAGTCTTGTTTTGGGGGCTGGACTGCACAAGTGAGGTCTTTCTGACTAAGTGTGAACTATTGGATTTGACCCCTTATATTAATAAATAAGACAGTTAAGGAGACAAGTTTAATTGCTGTTGTCCAATATAATAAACAGGGCAGGAGGGCAAAGAGTAAGAGGTAGTACTTATAGCCTGCAGAGGAAAAGAATACTAAAGACTTTTTTAAAAAGAAAAAAAAGACAAAGCCTTTTGCATGATTTCACAGCGTATGGAGCACTGGGGGCTCTTCCTGAATCTATAATAAAAGGTGACAGCAGCCACAGAAATTGCAGTGGAGACAGGAAGCCCTGTCAAATCTCTGCTGTGTGAATGCACTCATTTGCTGAAGCTTTTAGCAGGAATTGAAGCAGAGAAAGTGATGGCCTCTATTACAAAATAAGAGGTGCCTCCTTTGTATCAAAAATCAGGTGTAGCAAAGGTAAATTTTGAAGTGTCATAAAGGTACTGCCAATTTCTGCCTCAGTCCCGTATGGCCAGTCCAAAAAGGGGGAGAAATGAGTGCTAGTGAAAAAGAAAAAGAGAGAGTAGACAACTTTAATCTCCTGTCCATTTTGAGAGCAGAAGTCTTGCTACACCTGAGCTCGCTTCAGGGATCGCAACTCCCCAAGGCCTATGCTGCTGCTGGGGATGCTGGCAGGGGCTGGGAGGATGCAGTGAAGGCAATGGCACCTCATTGTGCCAACATGTGGAGTGGAAATGGAGAGATGGCTGTAGCCAGCAGCCAGATGGTGGTTGAAAGATCTGTGGGTTTTCTGCAAGGGCTGGTCACACATCTGCACAGCCCCTGTGCCATGACTTGTCCCAAAGGCTCTACCTTGAGTCCCGTCCCACTCCTTTGTGCTGAAGCCAAGGTTAGGACTGTCTTGAAGTGTAGGCCAGAACTTAGTCTTAAAAAACATTAAAATTGTTTTTCACATACACAAGTTTTTCCAAATGCTACTTTGTGTTGAAAGAAAATACAGTCTTTTAATGCAGGCAGTTCCCGACGTCTTCTTTAATAGTCCTTTTTACAAAGGGGAGTCAGAGGCAGGCAAGCCCTGGTTTTAGGTTTATTTATCAACCATTTTTATCACAAGGTTTTGGTTTTTTGGTTTTTTTTTTAGCTTAAATAATAAGTTTTAAAACCAAATCATAGCCCAAGGAACTAGGGACTGAACTCTAGCTGGTGGGAAGAGAACACAACAGGAATAGAAAGGAAGAGCATTAGTGAAAACTTCACACCCAAGCCTGTTGTACCTCCAGCACCACCATACCCCCAGCACCTGTTTTTTGGGGCATCAGTTCAGAGCAGTGGCTGGAGATAAGCTGCACTGGCAGGCATGCCTTTCCTTATTAGCTTTCCTTCCCCTGCTGGGAGCTCTACCTGTCACCAAGGTTTAGTTCCAGGTGGCTGTGTTGCTCCGGTATTCACAAGCCAGGAACCTCAGCCAAACCAAAAGGACTACGAATTGCATCCGTAACGCAATGCTCCATGCCACAGTCTTTTGACAGGCCCACAGTCACAAATGCAATCTTAAAAAGATTCTTTGTGGCCTTCAGTATCACTTCAGCAGCATCAGCCAGGCTGTATTCTGAGACTCACCGATACTGGCATCTAAAAGTCAAGGCAAAAATCAGAAGGCTTCAGGCTGACAATCAGACTACGCCCTACACCAATCACAGAAGGAAAGCTGCATCAATAGAAGATGTAACCATTAAGAGGTTGGTGATTGCTCTCCAGGCAGCTTAGCAGGCTCAGGTCCATGAGGTGTGGATGTAAAGGAGAACTTACACAAAGAAAGCATGCAGTCTGTTTCACAGGAGTCCCTTTTCAGGCAAGAAAACCAAGTGAAGAGAATTCAAGTTCTAATCATTTGTCACAGTTCAGTATGCTCTAAATATCAATTCTGAAAACACTGGTGTACCACTGACTGCTGAGTTAAATATCTAGAGTATTTATTTTTAATTTCTGAGTCAAATATATATTAAAAAATTAATATTTCAAAACTCTGGTCCAGCAAAAGACATACAGTCTTTTGTAAGCCAATATTTACAGTGCAGTTCATAGACAAAAAAGGGAGATTGAATTTCATCTTAAGTTTACTGAGGTCCTTTTGGATGTTGTTATACTTGTTTAAATTAGTCAAACTACTTGCTGGGTACATGGGATTTTTTAAAAATTTATTTTATTTTTCTAGAATCCAGTCTGATGCACTTGGCTAACACACATGTTATTCTGAAGATTCATGGGCAACAAAAGTATTTCTTAAGACTGATGCAGGGTTATTAGTTCCACTGCTCTGCTTTCGCTACTGCAACTCATAGTAATATAGAACATAATTAACTGTAGCATTGTAACATATATAAAAATTTTTTAAAAGGGAGGCTGTTCTGACACCGCTCTGATCACATAGAATCATTTATTGTTGATTAAATACTTATAAAAAAAAACCCGAAACACCACAACACAGAATAAAAAAATCAAAAGCTTCCAAATACATCTCTCCCAATTACAGTTAGATCAAAATCCTATGTAATGGCTTCAGATCACCTCCACTACAAATTTAAGGTATAATATTCTTTGTGTAAGATTCTAGGGCAAGACTCATTAAAGATATGTAATATGGTAGGATGAATAGCTATGCTTCCCCAAACCTCCAAATCCATAACCCAAACGAATCTTTTTAACCTCCTTTTATTGCTCAACACTATTTTACAGCATACAATGAATCAGAAATGGCTCAGTGAAATTATCACTTACTGTTTCTTGTGCTGTCACTTTGATCTGACGATGTAGTGGTCACTTTTACTGGTGGTTGTGTGGTTTTATCTTGTATTATTTGTTGTGTTATTTGTTGTGTAGCGTTAGGTGAAGGAGGCGTGGAGTCTAATAAGGAATAAAATTAAAATGTTTTCCTTAAATCTGTATACACACACACACACACATTGTCCTGCTTTCAGCCTAGTTTCACATTACCAGAAGAATATTTCATTTAAATTGAAGATCAACAGGGACAGGACTCCCTTCACTGTGGAGGAAGCCACTCCCTGTCCCATCAGTTGTCATGCCACTGAACACAAACCTGTGATAATGCAGTTACAAGGCCTGGCTTGGAGCTGCCTTGAGCCTGAGTAGGAGGAAGTTGCTAAGCACACCTGCAAGGTTTCACCAAAGAGCTCACTATCTGTAAAGCAAATTCCCAAACCAAGAGGCACTGCTGCTTAATTTCCCGAACAACCACTGGAACACCATCAACAATTAGCTCAAAAAAATTTTCACTTACTGCTTGTGATGGATTCATTTGTATCTCTGACTGCAGTTGTTGTCAGCACCAACGTTTGCGATGTTGTTGCTTGTGAAGTTGATCCATTTACAGCTTCTGTTACTGCAAGAAAGGCATTCACAACTTTACTGATTTATTTTATCATGCATAAATAGACATCACATACATCTATCTGTATATCTCTCACAAAGGCAGTGAAATTCTGTTTAAAGTCTGGCCCTTACAGCACTTTCTTACCCACACATTTTTAAAGAAGATTCAAAGTGCATATGGTTGGTATCAGAGGGAAGGTTTGGCCTGTGGACAAGTCCCAGATGAGTCTTTTTCTCTGGATAGCTTTCCTAGACTCTCTTCCTCTGCACTCATACTTCTGAGGGGGAAAAAACCCACCTGACAGGCATTCCTCTGAGGTGTGCAGCAAAGCTTAGGACACTGTGGATGGGATGAATAGCTTTCTCTAGGAAGTGATATTCCCCTGGTGAATTTGGTGCCCTTTTTAAGGTGACTTCTGGTACTTGTCTCCTCCAGAGGGGTGAGATTTGGAGGCTGAGAGGAGGGGAAAGGGCTCCCTCAGGCAGCAGGGATCACCTTCAGCTGCTGCTGGTACAGAAGGAGGGGAGCACAGATGCCCAAACATCACTAAGGCAGTAGAAATGTTTAAATCAGTGTGTGCATGGATGGCATACTGTAGGTCCTATGTGCTCCTGGCACATGCTCAAGGCAACAGACTGGCCAAACTGGTGCTGAGGAATCTGGGCTAAAAAACCCATAACTAATAATTTTAAGAGCCCAGCTTTCACTTCTGTAATCTAATACAAAGTGCTACTGTCAGCTACAGAGACTCATTTAAATCCCTGACAACAATCTGTGTCCTACTACCTCTTCTAGCACTTTTCATGGATGGGATACATGAAAAAATAGGAACAAATCATGATGTGACAGGTCATTTTCTCTCATATGACTTGAGTACTTCTAAATGCAATGTTCACACCATAACTTTTAAAATATAACTTATACTCTCTTCCTCCACCCTCAGTTTGCTGGTGCTTCACCTAGAATAGCAGTGTCTCAAAGAATGGACCTCCTTGGGAGCTTGCTTCACATCCACAAACTGCTTTAATCTCATAGTGGACTTCTGATGCTTTTTTATAGGTGTAAATAACAATACTGCTTTCCCTTCTGTGACAAAAAGCTTCAAGAGAAATTTCAGTGAAACATTTGAAGAGATTCACTGTGAGGTGTTGGGCCTGTATGAAATGTCTTTGAAACAGACATTAACATCATTGTTTTTGAAACACAGAACTGCAACACAATTTGAAAAGGACTAATTCTTCTGCTGTAATGAACATAACATATGCATACTTCACCTGGCTGCATCTTATTCACCTCCATTACTAGCATTTCAAGTGTATACTTCATAATCATCTCAGTATTTTCAGCTCCAGACTCATTAGTATTGCTCGTTATCAAAAAATAGAATCCTGTGTCCAAGTTTTCTTCACTCACACGCATCACTTGTTACATGCAGCACTTATTACATGCAACAGTCTTCAATATTCAAACTACTACAGGAGTTGATATTTAGCTCCCATGAATGAAATACAGTCAATATTGATTTTTTTATAACTACAAAGCTACACAATAACGAGAACTGAATGTGTCAGTTGAAGTTGTAAATCACAATCACAGACTTACTATCTGAAGGAGAGAGTGCATCTTTTGAAACTGAGAACACTGGTGCCACCCCCTTACTCAGAAAGTGAATCTCAACGTCAGTAGCTTCAAGAAGTTATTTGTAGCATTTTCGCAAGTGACAGCTTTGTGCACATGTATTCTCTCCTTTTAACTGAGGTCCAACATTGGCATACATTGTGTAATTCTTTACTATGAAAGTCCATGTCCCCTAATGCCTCTCTACACCCATCAAATCACCGACTTCCTGCTGCCATATCCTTTAACTGATACTGTTTCCCAAATTATTCTCAATCTGGCCTCTTGAACTATGAGTATTAGCTAATTAGTTAATATCTGATCACACTTGAACCACTCCTTGAGAGCATAGGAACTCACAGAATTTCAACCTTTTTCACCTGAAACAAAAATTTCGGCCTGCTCAAATTAACCCTCTCCTTACTAAGATCATTCAATCCTTTCTTCCCAAGAGAGTTTTGTCAGAAGCCCAGGGAAATACATTGATCTACGATCACCTTACATGAAATAATTCACTTAATTTCTCCCAGAAGTTGGAAAAGTTGAAAGCTAAAAAGACAATGGGAGTTTCAGAATACCTGATAACAATGAATTTGAACACTTACCAGACTTTGATGTTGATGTAGACACATTTTCACTGACGGCTGTGGTTAGAATACCATTTTCTGAAATAAACACAGAATTAATTATATCACTTCAGCCACCTTCCAGAACTATTTAGTGCTATATATGCATTTAAGTCAGAGAGCAGCAAGAACTTTCCTGGAAAACCAACCTCAGAAGTCTATTACCAGAAGCAACCAAGTCATATAGCCCTGCTAGCAATCTTTTCAAGCTGTATCCTAAATTTCTTAGCTTTGCCCTCACTGCTGTAATGGGGATCATCTGCTACGGCCTCCTCCCTTGGACTGTGGGTTTTCTGACAGACTAATATCTAATACTAGTTTGGAAAAAAAACCTGGAGCAGTTAAAGGTGGTTTTTTCTAGCTCCTCCTCTCCTTGAGTACAACCACAGCCGCTCTGGGTCTTCAGGGTGGAGGATTAACTAAAATAACTGGATGCAGGAGTAAGCACCCCTTCTCCTGCCTTGGAGGAACAAAATTCTACTACTTCCTTATAGTACAAGCACTTCAGGAGGGGTTTTCAGCGTCACCCAGACCCCTGTATTTGAGGGGAAGAGGAGAATTCACAGAGCATGGCTCGGGAAACACCAGGTCAATTAATGACTGACTTTCCCCATTGCTCTCAAAGCAGTGCTCCAGCTGTTGAGAGTTTACTGCAGTAAATGATGCCAGTCTTAAAAATCCTAGGTCAAGTTAGTAGGTGAATGTCTCCAATATTGCAAAACAAACCCTACAAAAAAAAAAAAAAAAAAAAAAAAAAAAAAAAAAAAAAAAAAAAAATCACACACACACACCCCCCACCAAACCAAAAGCAAAGTAATTTCTATAGCTTCTGGCTGTGCTGAAAAGTTGTAACAGCATAACTCAACTAGAGTTTTGGCTTCAAATAAGGTTTTCAGTCTTATTGCTGAGGTGTTTGTATCCTTCTAGTAAAAGAAGTTGGGGGGTTGATGAAGGGGGTGTAAAAACTACACTGAGTCAGAAACAGTGGCATTTCTCAAACATTTTACACGGCTATGAGACAAGGATGGGTACATTTGGGGAGGAAGAGATCAGCTCTGTGACTGAATGGGAGAGCAACATGGCACAGACTAATCCCCCAGTGCTTTCAGGTTTGGAGCGTGACATCCTGTCATGCTGCATTATCGTGCTGTAATACAGACATCGCAAAACTGAGTCAGGACAGCATGTCACTATTCTTGTGTGACTCCATTCATGGTAATATCTGCTGGCATTCTCTCTTTTTTTGGCTACAGGGCAGAACAGTCAGCTTTGTTCTCTTTGCTCAGCATGCTGCGCTCTGATTAACATTTCACGAGTACCACCCGAGGCCTGCCAGAGTCACAGATCTAACCTGGAAAATAAACCCAATAATACAATTGCAGGAGCTCTGTGGGCACATATTAAGGTCTAGTCAGATGAGCCCTTACAACTCCTCTTCAAGCAGTGTAAGGTGTTATCAGCCCTCTTGTCACTTGTGCATTTCTAATGTGTCTCAACTGGGATGTTGCCCCTTCCTAGTGAACCCCACTTTCTTGGATATCATTTCTACATATGCTGACACCTTCATAATGCTTCATCACAGCACGTGCTGGATGATTTTGATATGGGCATATCCCATATCAAATTAAATCAGTTCCCTACGGGCCTGCTAGTGCCCCAATCCTACTCCCCAGGACATGTGAATACAGTCAGGCTAGGCACAGCCCCTTGCACCCTGCATTTAAAATACTGGTTTTCCGGACATTTAGTTACCCAGTCAGAAAAACTCTTCATAATCCACTCTTGAAATACTTTGAAAACAAATTTTATCCAAATAGACCAAAAAGCAATCTTGTTTTCCTAAACGACAAGTGTTTTCTCGTCTCTTCATTTTCATTATGAGCTGCTGACAAAGCTCCTGTAATTCCTCACGCCACAAGGCCACAGCACTAAAACAGAATGTTGTTTCAACAGTGCCTACATTTCATATGGTTTGTTATAACATCTCTCAGTAACTACCATGTCTATAACACCAGTTAAACGCACTAGCTGGCCAATTAGCTCATTATCTAATTTGACTTTGTGCAAAGCCCATTGCAATATTTAGAATCTAAAGCCTTTAAAGATGTTCAGTTTAATAACCATGTTTCTCGGCCGAAATTTCCTCAAAACTAAAAAAAAAAAAAAGATTTTAATTCACAGTTTTGTTATGATTCCAAATTTGTGATTTTATCACAGGCTAAAGATAAACTAAGATAAATTTGATTAGTAGAGTAGAATAAACTAGAGTTTTATAAATTAAATGTATTCTTAAAATGGTGGATAATTAAGAATACTTTAAAATCAAGTTGAAAGCAACATGCAAAAATGCTTCAAACTCATCAGGATTTGGGGGGGAACTGGGTGATTAAAACAAGTTGTAGAACTGGTGGTTTATTATGCTCTATTTGCAATGTTAAGTTGTGACTAAGGAGAATCCTATGGGGGTTAAAAGCAAGAGATCAAAAACGATTGAGAAAAGAGCTTCGGCTCATGTCAGGTTGGCTGCAGACTCAGATGATGAACAAGCAAATAGTTACAATTGCATGGTTTTCAGCAAGTTTAGATGCAGTGATCTCTTTGATACAAAAGCACCTCTGATGTAGGAGTAGCCAAAATCTACTGAGCAATTGCTCCCCTGCACAAATCTCTCTCATATGCCATGCTTGCTAGCAATAAACTAAGCCAAAAGAGCATAGGTGACCTGTGATATAGCACCCTTGTGGTATGGAGCTAAAAGGTGCTCAGACGTGACACTGAGCTGAATAAAGGGATGGTGGTGGTAAGATCCAAAAAGAAAAAAAAATAATCTAAAAGTAGATAAGATGAGAAGAAATCAGAACTGGGAGAAAGATAACAGAACAGGAAGAAGACGAGAGGAGAAGGGCAGGAAGGCCCAGAGACAGTAAGACAATGAGGGTGGCAGGGAAAAACAAGAATGAATTAAGAAGAGCTTGAAAAACATTTGACCCATGGCCACAAGGCCAAAATGAAAAAAACAGTAACTGTTGGGTTATTTGTCTTTTCTATTTTCTTTCAGATTCACAGAATTTCCCTTTATTGTCTTTTATGGCTTGGATTTAAATGGTACATTTGTTCTAAAATTAAAGCAACAGTACAATCGTTTGTATGTGGTCTTCAGACATTATTTCAATATGAAATACTGAACTTTCTTTTATAAAATTCAGAAGGAGTTCCTGAAATCAGCCAGGGCTGACCAACAGCCACAATCATCCTCAAACTGCAGCTTTGGATGTAGGCTTCAGTCTCCAAGGTCTGAGCTTGGAGGTCTCATAATTTCTTCCCTCTCCCTCTCCCTCTCCCTCTCCCTCTCCCTCTCCCTTTTTGCCATTATACACAAGACATGGAGAAATCAAAGCTGTTTTCTTGCTCTCTGTCTTTCCACATGATCAGAAATAAATATTTTTCCAGGAAGCAAATGACAATTATTCCAGCCCCCATGACCACGACAGAGCCTCCTGTAACAGCTGCTCCAGCAGTATCCATGATAACACTGTACACTTCATCTGATGGTTTGTCTCTTCTGGAGAAAGTGATAGCTGTCCTTGTGAGAAAAGCTGGTACTGATATTCTCAGAGTTCCTGGTAAATAGCTGCTGCCTGACAATATACACCACCTGTACACTCTTACCTTGGAGCTCTGTTCTCTATTATGATGTTTTCTCTTTCATATACTGCTGGTTCATCTCTTCATTCTCTTCTCTGATCTTTTCCCAGGCCCAGTGTAGTTCTTATACTTCTCTTATTTCTGTTTTCACTCCTCACCCATCTTTCTTTCCCAGTTCATGACCTTCTACCCTAAACCTTGAAATAAATTTCTTTTTTATTTTGTAATGCATTTTGTGTAAATGTTCACACATCCTCCAAAGAAAAAAAATATGGTTTGCCTAGATGAGTAGTTCAACTCCCATCAACCCATAATTGCATAAACAGCTCCCATATGTATAGAGCAAAACCAAGTCTTAGGCACTGCTCAGACACTATTCAAGCCCTCCAAACAGAACTCAAGTGCACCTGAATGCATTCATTTAGGGATCAAACTCAAGGTTTAATTCCTGATGTAGAAATAGGACTTCTACCTGGTGAGGTTTAGCATTTAGATGCTCTTGGGCTTTCCTCCTCAGCAATGTTTTGTGGACACCCAGGTTGCACTTCCATCTGAGCCAAGGAAAGCCGAGTGCTACAAGCAATGTTTGGAAAACCCAGGCTCAGTTTCCTGAACATCTTCAGAATAATATTCTGCCAAGACACATATAAAGATACTTTAAAGTAGCTGCCACCTATGCTTATGGCTGGTTTGTAATGATACAGTGTTGGCCAGTTCTCCAAGAATCTACTCAATTTCCTGCATGTCTGTGACATCCACACTGCAGTACTGTGCTACCATAAATAGTGTGTGAGCTTGCCGGTTTACGGCTTTCCTGGACATATCATCACAAATGAGATAAATGGCTACAACTGTGGAGCAGAGATTACTCCATTCTCCCTGGAACATCTATGTAGAACAATACAGTTTAGATGGAGCTTCTGGAACTTAATCTGCCTCATTCAGATCAGCTTGGGTATTTCTATGCATTTTGCCACACAGACACTCCTTGTTTCCCATTTTCCAACTGATAAAAGAAGAATAATAATCTGGTTTTATTTTCTAGAAGACTGCAAACTGCAACACACAATGGCACCACACTCTGGCATTAAGAGTTATGCAAGAAACAGGGATATTTGCAGGTCAAATCTCAACTGCATTTGCAGTTTATATCATTTGGATTTTACAGAATAATAATAATATGGATACAAGTGGCAACGTTTGCATTTGCAACTGATCTCAGCTTTCTCAATATTTTGGTTTGTCTAGAGCATGTGTTCAGTGCAGAACCAACCCTCTGAAAATACTGCAGAAAGCTGTAATGTAGGACAGAGCAAGGAATGGGATTAATTTTAGATAACTGTTGTTATTTCAGTCCTCCCTCTGCATTTCTGCAGTTTATTTCCACTACATAC